GGCTTCCCGGCCCCTGGCCGCCCGCTCACCGCGCTGTCTGCTGCCCGCAGCCGCAGAACGAGTACATCGAGCTGCACCGCAAGCGCTATGGGTACCGCCTGGACTACCACGAGAGGAGGAGGAAGAAGGAGGGCCGCGAGGCCCACGAGCGGTCCCGGAAGGCCAAGAAGATGATCGGGCTGAAGGCCAAGCTCTACCACAAGCAGCGGCACGCCGAGAAGATACAGATGAAGAAGACGTGAGTACCTGCCGCTTCACCATCCTGACCCGCGAGGGATGAGTCGTTAACAGTGTGACATGATGCCTTGTAACAAGGGTCTACTGTTTTCCCCCGAGGTGGCCTCAGAATTAGTGAAACCTGACCCCTTTTTCATGCACGTGTTCCTCGGATTTGTTGCATTGCTGCCAAATCTCGGAAGAATAGTAATGTGTTGTATTTCATCAGAGAGGAAGACTGTAGTCCCTCAGAGTGCTTGGCTGCTTGTTTTAAGTCATTCAGAAATTCCTTAATAAGCTGCATGTCTCATGTTCCTGTCCTGACAGGAATTGACAAGCTTTTATGCGCTGTGCAGTTTGGGTGTTGTTACATTAAGTGAAATTACTAGCTTACCTTGGATATTATTTAGGGTAATTCTTTAAATATAAATATGTGCTTGTTCGCAAGTCAGTCTTCTGAAAGAAAATTTTGAGCAGGCATCAGCTAAGTTAAAAGGATATTCCTGTGATCTAAAAATCAGCCCTTTTTTTTTTTTACGCTTAATACTGAGTTTCTTTCCCTGCAGCATTAAAATGCATGAAAAGAGAAACACGAAGAAAAAGAACGATGAAAAAACACCTAAAGGAGCTGTACCAGCATACCTGCTGGACAGAGAGGGCCAGACCCGGGCTAAGGTTCTTTCTAACATGATCAAGCAGAAAAGAAAAGAAAAAGCCGTAAGTAACTATATTAAAATTCAGATACTGTTACTTGTGACGGGCGACCACTTTGTGCTGCGGATGCTCACGTGTCTTAGGGCCTACAAGCAAAGTCTAAATATTGATATCATATAAAGCCTAAAACCTTGAGTAACTGAGCAACCTAGGACAAAGTAAGCGTATGCCATATCCAGATTTTTCATAACTTCAAATGCTAATTAAAATACCTAGCTATGAGTTGTGTGAAAAGTGTTGTGTACCACTACTTTTTAGGGAAATCTTGGGTTATGTTTTGTTTGTCCTCTTTTATTTAGCAATATGTCATATAAGACTTTTGACGTTTTTTCTTTTTTTTCCCCCTCCCCCTTCCAGGGAAAATGGGAGGTTCCTGTGCCAAAGGTCCGTGCACAAGGCGAAACTGAAGTCTTAAAAGTGATTCGTACCGGAAAGAGAAAGAAGAAGGCCTGGAAGAGAATGGTTACAAAAGTTTGTTTTGTTGGAGATGGCTTTACTAGGAAACCTCCTAAATACGAACGATTCATTCGACCAATGGTAATGTTCATGAACCTCAAAGAATGTTTAAGTAATAGTTTGTGGCAAGGAAACTTTCTTCTGTGATAATGCATTTGATTAATACTGGTGTAGACCATTCCGGTCGCTTTTCTTGCGGAAACATAAACTTAGACCAGACTGAGGGTGGGGAGGTGCCCCTGCAATCAGTCTGTGTTGAAGTAACTCTGCTCTTACTCCCGTAGCTCAGATGATGCTAAGAAGTTAAAGCTGCAAGGCATCCAATTAGCATGGGAGGGTCTTTGGCAAAAACACTTCGAAGAGATGTTAAAAGTTGGAGGCTTCTTTTTCCGATCTGCTGTGATTTTTGTCAGCTGTGGAAGCCGACGCCGTATCTCCCTCTTCTGGCTTGTTGAGCAAGCTTGAAGCGCAGCCCTGACCGTAGGCAACGGAAGCAGCGTGCTTCCAGCTTGACCTGTCTTGCACAGCTGCAGGAACAGTGCCTGGGCTCCAGCATCCTGGCAGTGCACAGGAGGAAGAGTTAGATTCACCAAGAGAGCGTGCGTTTTCTGCAAATACTTGTTCCTGTTTTTCTCACAGGAATCCACAGAACCATTGTGTGGGCTGCCTGTTAGATCGTACCTTGTCACTGTTTTGATAGTCATCTTACACACCAGCCTTGGATAGGTTTTTATTGACAGAGAGAAAGTTACGATACCTAATAGTAAAGTACCCTTTGTGAACCACAGGCTGCTAGATAGGAAGTGCTGTAAGAGATGGGTATGCCGTATTTTACGATATGTTAAAAGGTTTTTTCAGTTTTACAGGAATAAAGGAAAAATTTCTAGCCTTAAAGACTAGAAGCATCGTTAAATGTGTTATCACAACACTTCATTTCTTACGGAACAGAAGCCATCCGAGGTAGCAAGTATTCTTATTGTACTACTATCAAGAACTGGCATACTGAAAATATGGATGGAAAAGTTTATTTGGTAATTAATGGTGTTTTTAAACAAATGTGGCGTTCTATAGTAGGCAGACAGCATTCTGTGTTGTAGGTTCTTCGTTCTTCTTCCCAGTCTCTCAAAACATAATGCTGAAAGTTGTTGGCCACGAGGGCTTACAGAAAATATTAACTCCTCCTAACACTCCTTTTGCAACAGGGCTTACGTTTCAAGAAGGCACACGTGACACATCCTGAACTGAAAGCGACTTTTTGTCTACCCATTCTCGGTGTAAAGAAGAATCCTTCGTCTCCTCTGTATACAACGCTGGGAGTGATTACCAAGGGTACCGTCATCGAGGTGAACGTGAGCGAGCTTGGCCTCGTGACACAAGGGGGCAAAGTTATCTGGGGTGAGTAGTTAAGCTAGCCTACTGCAGAACTGCTTTTACAGGCTTTAACTCCTCATCGCCTGAGGTATTGCGAAGACAGCGTCCTCTCACTGTCATCATTGATGCGCTGTTAAATGTCGGGTTTGGGCTGCAACAAGCAACCGCTAGGCAGCTATAAAAACGCTGGTTTTGAGTTTTAATTTTGGGCTTTCCACTCAACACACCTCCAAAATCAAACTGGGTGAACAAAGGCTCGACTGGCTTGCCGCTATCTCACATTGAGTGGTGCCACACGTCTTTTTGTGGACTTCACCATGTGAGCTGTGAACAATCATAACCGTGTTTTCAGTGGAAGTTCTGTGTAGAAGTATCTTCACAGGATCAGGCTGATGTAACAGAGAGCCTGACTTGGACTGCAGCAGAACCTATGAATTATTTTTTTAAATCTACCCAGAACTCTCAATAATCCATTTATAAAAAACAGCCTGAATTAAATACTCTGAGAACCTAATTGTGCAGCTCAGCAGAAGGTAGATTTCAAAATGCATTTCAGTTTTGGAAAAGGAATTTCCTACATATTTTTTTTTTTTATAAAGAGACTTGTGGATTGAACTTGCAAACACAGAAAAATCTCATTTGTGATATGAACTACTTCAGGCTTTTGTAGACATTTTAATTACGTTTTCTCTTCAGGGAAGTACGCACAAGTGACAAACAATCCAGAAAATGATGGCTGCATTAACGCAGTGCTACTTGTTTGATACTCAGCATTGGACGTGGGCTCCTGTGAAATCAGCGCAGTTTCAACAAGTTTTCAAGATCTCCGGAACCTTCAGCTGTTCAAGAGCATTGACCCCAGAAGCTGGTGACTGCTCAGATTTTTGTATTTATTGCGTTGGCGCAGCCAAACACTGTCCAAATAAAGTGAGTCAGTTTTCACGTTTTGCCTACGTGGTACTGGTTTCGATATCAAGCTTCTCCGTGTTTTTACAGTAGCAGGTTCCTACCTTAGATGTATTGTATAAATACGTAATTCGGTCCGCAGTGGGTTTCTGTGCAGGTGGGGTTCGGTAGCTGGCGCGGCAGCGCAGGATCGGCTTTTGAGAGAAGCTCCCCTGGCTCCAAAGTCAGATCTGCCTCTGGCCATGGCTGAGCCAGTCAGTGTCTCTGTGAATTGACTTATTTAAGTGGGGAGGGTACGAAATCGGGGAGAATCAGTGAGGAGAGAGGATGTGAGAAATGGGGTGAGGAGGTTCCCCTGCAGCCCGTGGTGAGAGGGCAGGCTATGCCCCTGCAGCCATGGAGGGTCACACGGAGGCAAAGATCCCCCTGCAGCCCAGGGAGGGCCCCACACCAGGGCAGGTGGCTGTGCCCAAAGAGCCTATGACTCTGGGAAGCCTGGACTGGAGCAGCCTGCTCCTGGAAGACTACATGCTGGAGCAGTTTGTGAAGAACTGCAGCCCATGGGAAGGCCTGATGCCAGACAGGAGGAGGTCCCCCGTGGGATGGATCCCACAAGTCAGGAGGGAAAGCATACAACAACCCCAAGGAGGAAGGAGTGGCAAAACCAGCATGTGGTGAACTGACTGGGAAACCCCCATCCCCACCCTGGGAGTTGAATTGAGGATGCTCAAGGAACGTGGGCGAGTTAGTTCCATCCTCAGTTGAGTTGGGGGTTGAGATCTGCGCTGCCAACTTGACCTTTACCCCAGTCACTTGCTGGATTCTGCTGATGGCTAATCCAACAGTCTTGTGACCTTGCAGGGGCAAATCTTTCCTCCGTTACCTTTCCAAGCTCCTCCTCAGAGGCTGTGGTTAGCTCAAGCACACAGACTTACATGATGCCGTTGGCAAAACACGCAGAGTTACATAGTACAACTGCAGCTAAAATTAATATCCAACTTTCAGATGCTGCCATTACCTCCGATCTTTCTCCCTTTCACTTCTGTGGCTGCATTAGCGGAAAGAGTAAAGGCTGGAGGGCATAGCACTGTAGGTCCAGGCAAGAGGAGAACAGTTTCAGAAGTTTGAATTTACAGAGTTTGTAGGGGTTTTAAGATGTGAAATTTGAGAACAGCGTGACAACCCTGATCGTACAACTGCTGGTAAGCTATTGTGGTGGCTGTAAGAAACATTCAAGGAAGGACTAAAGCTCACAAGCGTCGACTGATCGATACATACGTTTAGCCTGCATCCTGAAAATACAAGGAACAAAAGCTGCTTCTATACTGGAAGCTTTCGGCAACACTATAACTTTCCAGTCAAGAATCTGGCGATAAACGAACGTAGCACAACCTGTCGCTACGGATAAACACACTTGCCAGTGTACATGCCTGCATTCAACCAGTACTGCACCTCAAACCAAGGAGCTTTTAACTCAAAATTCCAAGTCAAATCCTGACAAGCTTTCTCCAGCAGGAAACTTTCAAACGGAACACTTACAGTTCAGGATCCAGGATGAGAACAGGTTCCCGCTGGGGTTTTTGGCATTGGCAGGTTTGAGGCTAGGGGTGGTCACAGCTGCAGGGAAGCGGGCCACACAGCAGAGGACAGCGTCACAGAGTAGTTAAGGTTGGAAGGGGCCAAGCTGCGAGGGAAGATTTATTCTCTGCTTCCTATCAGCAGGCGGTGTCAGCCACTTCCCGGGAAGCAGGACTCCGGTACGCACAGCAGTTGCTCTGGAAGACAAACGTAAATAACAAATGCCCCCACCTTCTTCCTCCTTTTCTTGGCTTTTATTGCTGAGCAGACCTCACACGGTATGGAACATCCCTTTGGTCGGCTTGGGTCAGCTGTCCTGACTGTGTCCCCTCCCACGGCCTTGCCCACCCCCAGCCTACTGGGAGAAAAAAAAGTTGGGAATACTGGAGAGACACCTTGGATGCTGTACGAGCACCTGTGCTGCACATCGACCAGCAACATGGACAGAACACTTATATCTTCTACAGCCGACTAGAGAACATTACTACATTTAGTGCTACAAATACGTAACGTGTCAGCTGAGTAACACAAAAAAAAAAGACAGTATGTTAACGCGTGGTGCTGGAGGGAGTGCGTTACAGCGTTTCTAGTTGGTCTGTCTACAGGTAACTGTGTTAGTAACTGCTCAGCTTGTGTCATTTTGCACAGTTAGTGTGAACAGCAGAATGCATGACGTAGCATACAGAACAGCCTGTTCTACAGCGATTTTTATGGAAGCCTGATGCATAAGCCAAGTACAGGAAATTGTTTTAATTGATAAAAGATTTTTCAATTAATAATCTTTGAGCTTTTAAAGCTTGTCGGTAGCAGACAGAGTGTAAAGCGATGCTAGTTCTAAGTGAACTGAACCACTTCAAAATATTCCTCCTGTATAGTAGAAGGGACTCAAATATTAAAAAAAAAACCAAAACAAAAATCACAAAATATAAGTTTAATTACTACTTCAAAACATTTCAGAAGCAGCCAAGACAGTACTAAAAAAGGAAGAACTAACACTGTAACAAGACTGAAGTACAATAGTCTACATATCTTTCATAAGGTTTATAAACAGGGTATCACTAGTTCAGAAAACATCTAACACCACATTTGAGAAAATAAACTTAGAAGTGTATCCCCTTAGAAATAAGATCTTAGAACGGTCACTTAAAGCAGATGAAGCTGAAACTTAGGCCTATTTGTTGCCACACAACTCAGTAGTATTGATGACATTGTAAATGATTGACTTGACTGACATCTGCAAATGAAATGGTATTAAAGAAAAGCAACAAACTAAGGTCAGACATCACTTCAAATAATTTAAAAGTACTTTTGAAATAAGACAGGGCTGTGAAACATGAGAATAGCAAACCAGAATTCTGCATGAAAAAAGAGACCAAATGAGAATGTGGGAGCAGCAAAGGAAAACCTGTGAGAGGCATGTGAATGAATGTTGGATTCAAAACCAAAGCCATTTACCACTTAAGTGCAAGGCTAAGGCTACAAATTAATGTTTGTAAACTCTATTCCTAGACTAAATAAAGCTCAAAAATAATACTGCTTGCTTTCATTGTATACGTGTAGTTGCACAGCATGTGGTACAAACTTGTATAAAGCTGATGTTTTAATCGTGGGTTGCTGGTACAGTAAGATCTTAAAAATTCTTTAAGTATTTGATGGTAACAATGTAGACAAAGTAAAACCCTATGTTTGGGTTAATGTCTAAGTTATAGTGACACCATTTAATTTAGTATTAAATATAGGCATTGATCTTCTGAGGAGGACCATTAGTCACCAGCTTTATTGTATAAGACCCATAAAACATTAACAACTATACCCTTGAAGAGGAGCTAAGGACTGTTAACAGGGAACATCCTGCCCCAGACAGCACTGAAAGCTGGATGATGACCAAAGCAGCATGGAGCCAGCAAAATCCACAGTAATTAGGGTAAAGGTGGCAGGGGGAGATCACAACCATGGACCCAATTGAGGAACTATGCAAATTACCCCCCTACACCACCTAGGAGCATGCATGCTAATTAACCAATAAGATAATATGGTAACTACTAACCCATTAATGGAACCTTGGGTAGGTTTTCTGCTGTTTTACTGATCATGTAACAAGATAAATACGTTGCAATTCCTTTGGGAAGTGTGCTAGCTTAGTGGAATTACCACCTGGCACCCATCTTTGTGCAAACATGAAGTATCTCATCTCTAAGACTGGCCTGTTGCACACTGGATACCAGACCCCCGCTTGTGGGAGACCAGTTTTCTGGTGATCCAGATAGGACAGCCATGAACCTTGCTCTGATTGTCCTGCTGCTCCAGACAAGAGTCAGGACCTGAAGGACTCCAGCACACGCGGACCTCTTGATCGGGCAATCCAATGGTTCCTCCCTACAGCTGGATGACATGCAACTCAATGGTGCAACACGAGATATTTTGGAGGAGGCAAGTGATTACAGAGGTAAGTAGCTGCTTGCAGAGTTGTCTGGAACTGCTCTGTGTAAGATATGTCAAGAAAAGCCCACCGCAGGAGCTTTCAAAGGCTTCTTATTCTCACAGGGGGTCAGAATCCAGAGTTGCTCTGCATAAGACATACCAAGAAAGGCCTGCAGCAGCAACTTTAAGCAGTTTATGCCCACAGGGGGTCAGAATCTGGTGTATGAAGCCATGGGTCAAGAATTTTTTCCTGAGAAATAATGTGTAGTATGGGTGCAGCTGCCTCTACCCAAGTGTCCTGTGTACTCCCTTAGGATGCATCCTAAAAAATTAGAAAAAATTTGGAGGGAATGCCATAGAGAAAGATAAATTAAAAGCTTATTGTGCCCAGTGGTGGCCAATGTATGAACTGGAGGATGGAGAAAAATGGCCAGAGAATGGATCATTGAATTACAAAACTTTTGCAATTAATCCTGCTTTGTAGAAGGATGGATAAGTGGGATGAGGTTGCACATGTTGATTTGTTTTTTGGTTTAAGGCACAGTTATAAAACCTGAAAAAAGTAGGTTGATGATGGATGCTGCTGATGGAATGTATGTATTAGCAGAAGGTGTTCATGGGAAAGGAAAGAAAAAGAGGCGATACACAGAATGTTAAAAGAAATGCATTAAGGATGGCAGGGAGGATGAGGATGTGCAGATTTTGGTCCCAAAGGGTGACCTGGCCAATGTGGAGAGAAGGGCCAAAAGAGGGAGGTCACAGGGTAGTCAAGATGGTAGTGAAGATGGTGACAGTGAAGACCAGTCTATTTCCACCCCAGGAGTGGGAAGTGAGAACTTTAGTCCAGTCTCCATGAGAACAAGGGGAGAGCGTCCCATTATACACAGTCCCTTGGAGACAGGCCATAGGAGTGGAGGGATAACCCATGTTTGTACATGTCCCATTTGCTGCTTCAGATCTACTGAAGTGGAAGCAGTCTGCGGGGCCTTACAGGGAGAATGCAGAGGGAATGCATCCTCTATCAGAAACTATTAGGCTGACTCATAATCCAAACTGGGGGGGATACACAAGCCATGCCAAACACTTTCTTCACAACAGGAGGAAGATGAACGGTGGGAATTCATCTTTCAACAGGGAAAACAAGCGATAAACACACATTATCAAAAATCCACCCAGAAGTAATTGAAATAACTGGGATTCGCTTTTCATAAGCAAAAGGACCCTTAACCTTCTGAAGTGAATATATTTGTATCAACTGAAGTATTAAGCAGGTTAATCTTTACTAAAGATTTCTTCAAGAACGGAAGATGAGTCAGAATATAGCATATACAAATACCTTTTAGGCCACCAGCTCTCACAAATTCCAAATTCTTAGCAATGCAATACATGTCTGCTAGCCACTTTTTATAACACCATAAATCTCAGCAGTAAAAGAGAAGCCATACAGAAGATAACAGAAGTTTCATCTCATGTGCTTTATCAAAAAATGCTTGCGTAGTTTTAGAAATGCTTCAGGTTCACTTGAAAATGTTTACAAACTATCAAGAAAGATCTTGAACTTTTATCAGTCATGGGGTTTGTAAGCAGTACCTGTATGTACACTGTCAGGAAGCTACAGATACAGGCAACGGTTCAAGAAACCCAGATCGAACTCAGTCATCTCAGGCACCCTGAATCAAAAGTTTAGGTAATACACGTCTTGAAAACTGCCATTTCCCACCCCCC